TACCCGAAAAAGGCAACGGCAGTGAAAACCTTGGCGTTTTAAGCGGGCGCAAGCTAGGAGGGTAGTTTTGACTGGAAGGGTTTGCCTTGATTTTCGTTGGCTGCGTGGTTTCAGTCAGGCAGTTTTGTCCGAGTAGCTTTGGCTGCAGGCATCCAGGCCAGGCCTAGCAACGCACGCACGGCTAGGCTCTGGCTAGGCTCTCGCGTTGTTTTTGCTCGTCGTTTTCGCCGGGCGTTGTGCGGGTCGCTAGTTTGACCCCTCGCTGGCAGGCAGCTTGGCTGGCAGTGACGAGGAGGCGATGCCAGGCGATGGCCATGCACGCGGCCGCCCGTTTCATGGGCTATTACTGTCCTGCGGACCCGTTAGCAGGCTTTACTGGGGGCTCTTTTGCCTAATGTCCGGAGCCGTGCGGTGTGTGCCGTGTGCTTACGCCCAAACGGACACACACGCACACACACATGCATCCATGCACACACACATACACTCGCCCCACTCGAGCACCCTGCATCCCACAGCAGGTAAAGGTGTCACGAGGTGTGCGCGTGGCGCGTGCCGATGTCGTAGAAAAACGCCACACACACACACACACACACTGGAGAAAGATGCAAATATTCTTCTTCCTTGTAAATGTCCACACAATCAGTCTCTTCTTGTCCAACCAGAGTCCTTGTTTTCACGTAGACAGACGGGGTGGTTCCGACCCCACGCCAGGAAGGTCGGGGTCCCGGAAGTGCCCCCCCTCCCCCTCTCCCCCGAGGTCGTGGTCGTGTGTCCGCCTACCTCTGCGGGTGCGTAACGCTGCGGCCCGCTCCAGTAAGCCTCTTCCCGGCATCGGTCGTAGAACATGTTAATCCAAAACGGGGCGGTGGGCGTACTTCACACACTTACACTCATGACCATCTTGGCGGTCGCGGCGGTCGGCGCGGAGGCCGAGGCCAGAGCCGTGCCGCTCGCCTCACTGGGCCAGCCATGCCACCGGGACATCACTTCGCACATCACTAAGCACTGGGCCGCTCCTAGACGGGCGTAATCCGGGTTCGGGTCCGGGGCGGCAGGAGCAGGAACGCGACGGCGGCCACGCTGCGGCGCGCGGCCTCGACGAGCATCCCGGGCATCGACGATCGCGACTGGAGGCGCGCCGCGGCCGGGCCAGGCCAGGCAGCGCCGCCGCCTCGCAGGCAGCGCGGCCAGCGCCGCCGGGCCGAGCCGAGCCGAGCCGAGCCGAGCCGAGCCGAGCCGAGCCGAGCGGCGTCGCGAGCGCAGCCGGGCCGCGCGCGCCGGGGCGGAGCCGAGCCGGCCGGCCGGGTGGGGGTCCCCCACTGGGGGAGCGCAGCCAGCGCAGCGACAGGCATTCTTCGCCTGCTTCGCGTTTCGTTCCAGGCGCGCCGGGCGCGCCGGGCCCGCCGGCCACCAGGACAAAAGTGGGCGGGGTGGGGGCAGCTAGGGCAGCGCGCCGCGGCCAATGGCGGCCGGGGGCGGGGCCTGCAGCAGGACCTCCTTTGTGTCCTGCGTGGCTTTGACTCCGCGCGGCCACCGCGGCCCAGGGCCCAGGGCCAGCCCGACGGCGAGGACTCGGCGATATCAATCCGGCCACTGTACGGGATCGCTTTCGCGGCCACGCTATAGCTAGCGCAGACTGCACCCCCGGCGGAGCGGCGCCCCACACGTCGCCCCGCACAGCCCCGCCACAAAGTCGATTCCCAGATTCGATTCGCCGGCCCCGCATCCTGCAGGCGAGAAAACTAGATGGTGTAGTGCCCGCGTGCTGCTCCGGCGCGCCTTGCTGGCCCAGGTGGAGCCGGGCGGGGCGCGGCGGGGCGCGGCGTGGCGGGGCGGGGTGGGGCGGCACCGCGAGGATGAGAGCCTCCAGGACCATCATTAATTTCTAAGCCCCAGAGTTCCGCCCTCTCCGCCGGGCCGACGCCTTGCATTCAAGTCTCCAAGACCCGGGACCCGGGGACCGTCCGTAAAGCGCACGACGACGACGCCACTGCCAATTTCGCCTCCCTTCGTCTCCACTTTTGGCAGTGTACTGTAACGCACGGCGCCGCGCGGTGTCCGAGAGAAATCGTCACAATCGTGGTCCGGCCGCGTCGCCGCGTCCCAGAGAGTCCCAGGCCCGGACACTTAGTTAGGCAATGGGCCGCGCGGCTCCGCGGCGGCACCGTCCACGTCGTGACCACGGGACCACAAATTGGCCCGACAGTTAGCCAAGCCAAATATTTTCCCCGGCAGGGCGGCCCGGGGGGAAGGGGGGCCAAATTGGGCGCCCGGACGCCGCCGCCGTCGCCGCGCCGCGCGGGGGTAGCTTTCCCCCCGGACTGCGCGGCTTTCAGACCGCAGGCCGACCAATTTCCCACACAATTTCCGGGCGGCGCGGTGGCCGCGGCGGTAAGGGGGCGGCGCGCCAACTCGCAGGTCGGCGGTTCGAGTCCCGGGTTCCTGGCCTTTTCCGTCGGCTTATCGACCCCGGCCGCCACAATCACGGCGCCGGGGATCGCGGCGGCGCGACGCGGCCGCACACCATTAGGGAGAGTGGGGGTAATCGGGGTGCTCGAGTGGAGGGGAGCCTGCAGGGGTGCCAACGAGACGTGAATAGCGAGAGGGTCGCGATGACGCCGTTCACGGGGCGGTGCCGGGGCGGTGCCGCGCGCCGGGGGCATTGCTCACTGTCAACAAGCAGGCCGCGCTCCATTACAGTGGCGCGCAGCGGGGCCGCCCCGCCGCTCCGAAACCACGACCGAAATGACCGCCACGGACCGAAACGCGCGAGGCGCGCCCACACTGTGAAGCCGGATCCGCCCCGATGGATTGGCCACACGCGAAGCGAAGCAGCGCGATGACGGCCGTGTCGTCGCTCTGCCTCTCGCTCCAACTCGCGGGCAGGGGCGCGAGAGAGACGCCGCGATCGGAATCAGTCCGTACGTACAGCCGTACTCTGAAAAATGCGGTCGAAAATGCCGAGAGGTCGCGTTTTCGTCGACAGGGTACGTAGTGCTTCTCGAAACGGCGGCCAAATTGTTAACGGTCAGCGCAGCGCGGCGACAGCACGGCGACGTCGGCACTTAGGCGGCTCGGCTGGCTGGGCGAGCTTTTCTCGCGGGACTTTAGCCACCATTAGCCAGCGGCTTTGGACACCCACTTCTCGGCTTCCTCATTTCACCAAGTCCTGGCGACCCCAATTCCCCGCTGGACAGCCTCGGCCCCGCGGCCCCTCGGACAGACGCCCTAAGCCCCCCGACTGAGCCCCCCGGCGGCAAGGGTCCCGCCCACACCGGGGCAAGCCACGACCGCCCGGCCGAGCGGACAAGCGGCCACGGAAAAGTCAACTTGAAAAAAGAAGGAAGACAAAACAGAAAGGCACGACGCGGGTACTAACCAAAACACAAAAAAATAATAATTTAAAACTACTTTGTTAAGGTGTTCTGGTTTCTTCTCACTATTGAAAGATTGTAGTAATGTCAAAAATATCAAAATACTATAATATCTCAATGAATACCATTCTACACCACAAAAATGATCACAACGATCTATTTTTTTCAATTCTAATCTAACGTGCGCGCACTCACACAGCCGCATCGCTTGCTGATGCGGCGGCCTCCCTGCTCCTCTGTCTATCCCCCGTCTATCCCTCATACTCTCTCTCCCTCCCCTCCCCGCGCGCTCCTATCCCCCCCGCGTCTCTCTCTCACTCTCGGCAATTATTGTTAATCCCCCATCATGGCGGCGTGCTGCGGAAGGGGACGACCACGCCGTGCTGCGCGATGCCGCGCGATGAAGCCGTCATCTGTGTGTGTGTGTGCAGTGCCGTGCACGCCGAGCGACGCGGAGACACACATCATCAAGCAACACCATCAATTTCACACATTTTTTTAATTTTTTTTTTTAATTTTTTTTTTTTGGTGGGAGTGCATTGCTTATATGAAAATTGGCGCAAAGAAGGCAAGCGATATGGTACTAGACTGAACAATCACGTGATTTGCCAGAAATCCTCACAATTTCTTTTTAATTTAAATTGTTTGTACTAATAAATGTCTTTATAATTAATTTTTTCCTCTTTCTTAAAAAATTTTAACCGCTAATGGGTTGTGTCCCACGGCCCAGTCGCCCTGTTCCGCGTCCGCCGCCACCGCAGTGCAGCGGACACCCTGCGGGCCCTGCGGGGCTGCGGGGGCCCGGGGCCTGGGCCCTCCCCCGGGGAGCTGTGTGCGTGTTGTGGCGCACGGTGCCGGTGCGCCGCCTGTCCGCGTCGAAAGAAAGTCGAAAGGCAAGGAAACGTCAGCGTGTCACTCACTAATTAATGATCATACACACACCGGACCGACTCCGAGGGGTCGCGCTTCGTCGCCGTCCGTCTCTGTCGCACTCACGGGGCGTCCCGTGGGGGTGCGAGAGAGACGGAGCGACGAGACGACGCTCTTCGGCCGGCAGGCGGCGGCGCGCGGGGCCAGACACTGGGCCCAGAGGCGGCGCGGCCACCGCGGCAAAGGAGTCCGGTGAGCAGGCCAGCCGACAAAAGCACGCACACGCACGCACGCACACACACACACACACACACACACACACACACACAAGGATCCCGGTCCGCCAAAAAGGGTCCCCAGAGTGCACCCTACACGGTAAGGCTGCGGCGGGACCTGCTGCCCGTGAGAGTGCGCCTCGGCCTGGCTAGGCCTGGGCAGGTTGGCCGGCCGGCCGGCAGTTTCGTTCCGAACAGTGTGCTTTCGTCGCTCCGTCTCTCTCGCACCCCTTACGGCGTGCGCCCCGAGGGTGCGAGAGAGACGGAGCGCGAAGAAAGCAGTGTTCGGAATGGTGCGGCAGAGCGTCGCAGAGCCACCCCGAGGAGATGGACTCTCGCTTTCGCAGGCCCATTTAGCGACTCTGGAGCTCAAAAAGCGCCTACCGGTCTTCTGACCCACTGTGCGTCCCGGGGGTGCGACAGAGGCAGAGCGACGTTTGCTGCTACTGGGTAACGGTAACACACATCATGTCGTACTCACCGCTGCCCGCGGTCGCGCCTCCGCTTCGTCGTCTGCGTCCTCGTCCATGAGGTCGCCGAAGCCGCCGAACTGCGTCAGCAGGTCCAGCTCGTCGTGGTTGAAGTCGGGCGAAAACGCGTCCTCCTCCAGCTGAAATAGCGGCGAGAGAAAATAAATTCAGACAGCTTCCCAAAATAAACCTATGTTGTTTCAAGCGGCATTTTCACATTTTATGTTATTTTTCAGAAATTGAATATCGGTTGACTTTTTTGAACGAAGAATATTCCGACAGTGTGCAATCTGTACGAGAGAGAGAGGGACGCTTCCTGGCGGCGCGGCGGCCGTACGGGCCTGCGGGTACGACGAGCGGACGGACGGACCGACGGACGGGCCGTGGGGTCCCTGCTCTCGCCGCCGCAATTTGCTGTCACGATTTTCTCACACGAGTAGTTCCAGAAAGTGGCCATCCCGGGCGCAATACGCGTGCTCGCTTCCCACGTCCGCGTCGACGGGCGCACAGTGGGCCAGAAGACCGGTGGAGGCGGACAAAACTCTAGACGCGTTTTGGGCTGAAGAGTCGCTAAATGGGACTCGAACCGAACGTGTGACCCCACCAATGGATTCCTCGTTCGGAGAGCAATCCATTGGTGGGGTCACAGGTTCGGTTCGAGTCCTGTTTAGCGACTCTGGAGCTCAAAACGCGTCTAGAGTTTTGGCCGCCTCCGCCGGTCCTCTGGCCCACTGTGGGGCGGTCGACGCCCAGGTGCGTCCCCGGGCCCCGGCGAGAGTTGCCGCGACTTGATTTTCCACCCGAATCCAACTCGACTCACCTCAAACAGCCGCAGCGGGTCGTCGTCGAGCGGGAAGTCCTCCTGGACGTTGGACGACGAGGAGGCCGAGGCCGTGGACCTGGCCGACGACAGGCGGCTGTGGTCCGAGACGTCGCCGTCGTAGTGGAGGTCGGGCACCGTGGCGTCGTCATGGCGCCGGCGGCCGAACGAGGCCAGCGACGAGGTCGACGACGACGGCGAGGCCCTCGCCCCGGAGCTCTGGGGGTCAGCGTCGGAGTCCGACCCGGCGGCGACCACGTACTCCCCTGCACGCACAAGGAGAGGTTATTAATCTTGTTATCGCGATGGCACGTCGCGGGGGCGGCGCGGGGCGGGGGTGGGGCTCCATGTTGGGCCGCCCCGCCGGCACACTGTGCGGCACCGCCAGCCACGCCAGCCGTCATTCACTGCGATTCGGCACACTAGAAGCGACACCGCCGCCACGACGCGCCGCATTCCCCTTTGCCGGGGTTTTCCCGGACGCACGCTTTTCCGAGCGGAAAGCGACGCCCGCAAGGATTTCCCTCGTTTCCCGCGGGCCCAACCGCCGCGGAGGACGTCAACACCCACAGCCACGAGGTTGAAAACGGAAAGCCGCGGCGCGACCGGCGCGACACTGTTGCCTACAGTGTAGCCAACATGGCCGGTGCGGCGGCCGACGATCTCACGCACCGGGGGTGCCGTGCTGGCCGTGCTAGGCCCGCCCGCAGGGCGAGGGGCCGGGGGGAGGGGGAGGGGCACAGCCAGGCACAGCCGGGTGCCGGTTTCGTTCCACGCAATGCCCATGCCTCCCCCTCCCTTGTCCTTCCCCTCCTCGACGCGATAAATTTCAATTTCCCGACCAGACACGCCGCGCGGCCGAGCGGCTCCACCCTGCTGTCTGCCCCCAGCTCTGCGCCCTGCCAGCCCTGCCAGCCCTGCGAGCCCTGCGCACGCAACGCGTCCCTCCGTCGCTCTCTCGCACCCCCGCTAGCGGAGCTCCGGCACGCCGTGAGTGCGACAGAGACCGAGCGACGCTCTCTTTGGAATTGGTCTGCTGAGGGCAGAGCCCGCATTCCCAAAGTGCAGGGGCGACGAAAAAAAATTAAGAGACCAAACTGTGAATGAAACTGAAGGACAGTGGTTCAAAATATTTCTAACATGGACCAGTCGTGGTCTGTTCCCTCCACTGCCCACGCCGCCCGGCTGCTTCATCGAAAGAAAAACGCAGCGCCTGCTGTCGACTGATTCCGAGAGTCGTTTCATCGCTCTGTCTCTCTCGCACCTATGCGGGACGCCCCATGAGAGCGAGAGAGACAGAGCGACGAAAACGACTCTCGGAATCAGTGTGCTGGCCGCTGGCCGCGGCACCACTGGAGGCACTGCCTGGGCTGCGCTGCCAGCGGCCTAGACTTGGCGGCGTGGCGGCGGCGCCCTCGGTCTAGTTTAATTACAGAGCCTCAATGGCACAATGCGAGAAAGACAATCGCCGCGGCCCAAGGCGGGTCCCTTTCTCTCTCTCGCACCCCTACGGCGCGCCCCGCGAGAGAGAGAGAGAGAGAGAGAGAGAGAGAGAGAGAGAGAGAGAGAGAGAGAGAGAGAGAGAGAGAGAGAGAGAGAGAGAGAGAGAGAGAGAGCTGCACAAAGGGCGGACCACACCGACGGCAACCAAGGCAAGGCTATCGCAGCGCCCCATATTCAATTTCCCCTACGAAAGAGAGAGACAAAGCCTCACTCTTGCTGCAGGCGCTGCAGGGGCACCAGTTCGGCGGGACACAGCGCGGGGACTAGATTTTTCTCCAACAAGACTCGAATCAAAACCACGACGGCGACTATGGATGTACACTTCGAACGAGCGGCACGTATCATTCTGTCTTAGAATCTGGTTTAATTTCCAGGACGGTCTCAAAATGAGTCCCGAGTACGTAACCGGAAAGAACTTGAGGCCCACTCACTGCACGAGACTTTAGCTCGGTTAAGTTGGTTGCCTCAACAGATGCCGCCAGCCTGCCAGGAGTTTCAATCTAACATGTTCCGGATGTTCCAGATAGCATTGTTCCCCGGCGCACGCGCGCGGCTGGAGCAGGCCTCCATGGACACCATCTTGGCCTCCCGCGGGCCCTGGGGGTCAATAACGAAATCACCATCAGGCAGAACAAGGCGTTCGGAGCCGCTATCACGGCGTGGGCTTCTCCGAACGACCCAGGGTCCCGCCCCGCCCAGGGGTCCCGGCCGAGCGACCACGCCGCGCCGCGGCCCGTGGGAGCCCCGCCGCAACCCGCCCAAGGTTCGACCTAGACGGTCAAAATAATTAATGAACGGCCCATGGGGTCCAAACAAGATGGCGGCCGGGTTCGTAATTAAGCGAGATGGTGGCGGGGCGCGGCGGGGCGGGGCGGGGCGGGGCGGTGGGGATGGCCGGGTGGGCGGGGCGAGCGGCGCTGCCTTCCCGGCCCGGCTGGCTGTGCTGCCCCCACCACGCCACTGCGAGCCGAGCGAGCGCGGCGCCGCGGGGCCGGCAGGACATGCAGGAAGTCGACGGTTAGGCAACCGGCCGACGGACCAGGGACCACGGACCACGGCGTCGGAGGATTCCTTCTGACCGCATTAGGCGGCCCTAATCCTCGGAGCGACGACTACCGGCCCCCGGATATCTTACTCCCCATCGCGGTCGGCGTCAACACGTCCACCTCCCACGAGGCGAAGCGCCCCGCGTCCGCGGCCAGGCCGCCGTGTGAGGGTCAGAGCGATCCCGATGACGGCCAGATTGGAGTCCGAAAGGCCCCAAAGGCCCGAAAGGTCGCAGCCCCGCGCCCCAACCTCGCCGAGTAGCTCTCGGTCTCAACGGTCTCCGAGTCCCGTCAAATGGGGCAACAAAGACGCGCACTCGTTTTGGCGCCATGCGGCCGTGCGGGTGGGACCACTGGGACCGCGGCGGGTCGCTCTCGGTCTCAACGGTCTCCGAGTCTCGTCATATGGGGCAACAAAGGCGCGCACTCGTTTTGGCGCCATGCGGCCGTGCGGGTGGGACCGGGCCGGCATTCGGTTTGTAACGGGGCCGCATCCGCCCGCACACACACTCACAGAGGTATATACTGTACGGAGCCGCGTTCGCGTGGTCGTAGTACTAGTGGCACACGAGCCGGCAAACTCGGTGGGAATGCCTCACCCCGCCACGCCACGCCGCACCGCGCGGCGTTCCAAATTCGATGGACCGAAATTCCTGCCATTCCGCGTGCTCGTGCGCTCCCCCATCCCCCTCTCCGTCGATGGCATCATTCATTACCCCCCGGCAGCGCGAATTTTCAAATTAACAAGTCTTTGTAATAACTTTGCCGCCGCATTTCCCCATTCTCGTCCCTAATGGGAAAGACACTCGAGGGGATTCGGAGCCCGTAGCGTAGCCGGGCAGGCAGGGAGGCAGCCAGGCAGGCGGGCAGCCAGGCAGGCGGGCAGGCAGGGAGGCAGCCAGGCAGGCAGGCAGGCAGCCCAGCAGCGCGCGGGCGGGGCGGAAAGGCGTAGGGAAGGCGAGCATTTTGTGCAACGTCACATTCCCAATTGAGGTAAAATGTTTTGTTCCCGGGCCGGCCGGGGGTGTGGCGGGGAGGCTGGCCCACGCAGGCCCCGCCAGCCCAGCCCCGCCAGCCCGGCCAGCCAGGCCAGCCAGGAGGCGGCCGTCCCCTCCGCCTCACTTTGATGGGGCCCAGCAGGCTGATTCCGGACAGCGCTTTCGTCGCCGCGTCTCTGTCGCACTCGCGGTACCGGGGCCCCGCACGAGAGAGAGAGAGAGAGAGAGAGAGAGAGAGAGAGAGAGAGAGAGAGAGAGAGAGAGAGAGAGAGAGAGAGGCCCGGAGGGGCTTTGACGAGCCGAGCCCGCCAGAAGGCGGAGGCGCAAGACGGCCGGACGTACATGGAAACGCGAATCAAGATGCCGCTTCCCTTATTCGCGCTGGAAGACTCCGACAGCGCGCCCCCGCGCAATGACTCACTCAACACTTTTCCACCGCCAGACAGACAGAAGCCGGCTAAGACGCACACTTTTTTGCCTTGCAAGCCGATCACCGATCGGGAAAAGTCCAAATCAGTGTCGGACTTGGTTTCTAGGACCCGTCGATGTTCTTTGGCGAACACCAATCATCTTTCCGCGTAATCATCGGCAATCTGTGTCCAATCTGTGGCCTTGCTGTACGCGGCTTACGGCGTGACCGACACCACTCCAAAATGAGGCCTTCGCGCAGAACAGGAAAGTCAGAGTGGCACATTGATTGAAGAATATGTGCGCTGCAGATGGGATCCACGGCGGATCCGTAGCGGATTTCTCTTAGTGAGCCATTTCCATCATCATCATCATCAACGCTGTTAGGCCTATACAGACAGATTCGAGTCAGCAGGCATTTGATTTTCCTCAACCCTACTAGTGGCGACTCAAACTGCGTCCACTGGCGCCAAAATGTCATGCCCGACATAACCTCACTTGAGGCAGCACCGCAGCCACGCGATTCAGCCAAAGGCTCAACTCCCTTCATTGGCGATATCGGTCCCTGAATAAATAATGGCGCTACCGCCGGCTCAACAGGCGTATCACGCGTATCACGGGGTAAACAAACATTTGGACAGGGGACGTGCCGCCGCCGCGCACCAAGCCGATCCACAACGTCACGTGAGAGTGCAACTTGTACCACTGGGTCAGCCAAAGTGCTTCATCAGGATCACTACACACCGACACAAGTTTGCGGGCGGCGTTTAAAAGCTGTCTGGGAAGCGACAGTGTTGCCAGACTGCCGTGGCGGTTAGCTGGAGCTGGGACGGACATCCGAAACACGAACACGCTCTAAAATGTTTGTGCGCCTTTGGCGTTTCAAATTTACCCATTTCTATACGAAAGAAATGGCGTTTCTTTGCTCCTGCACGGAGCCTCGCACAAGTATAAGGTGCGTTTGAGCAGGACTAAGAATTCATTTTTTCGGGATACGGTGGTCGCATAAGATGTGTCTTAGATATCCTCAAAAATTAAATTAACGAGCAACAAATATTTTAGTGTAAGAACTGTTTGTATTTTAAACTTATTCTTGCGGTTTACTGCTTCCGGAGCGCGCTGCCATGTATGGCTACACACACACAGAGTGGCGCGAAGTCCCGACTCCGAAAACAAGAGCCACGGCAACCTGCCAGTGCAGTGCGTGTGTTTCGTAAATAAATATTCGGCCACAATTCGCCTCGACAGCGCCAGCACTGCGCCAGCAGCCAAGAAGCTTACTAAACAAACACCGACGCCGGCAGGCACACA